GGTTTAACTGGATTATGAATTAATTAGCGATATTGACCAGATGACTGTACATTATCCCTTCAATTACAGTGCATAAATGTGTGGGCATGAAATATAGATTTGAGTTGAAATTATTTTATAATTAAATTAAAAACCAATTTGATTAAAAATCAAATTATCTTAAAGCTTAATAGTCTATTAAAATGTACAAAACTTGCAGTTAGTTCAGAATGCAGCCGCGACTGGCACTAAGACTAAATTTCTAAGATTACAAACTTTGGTGTCTTTGAAACATTTTAAATCTATTATTCGGTCACTTGAAGAAGACTCAATGAGGTGCAATTGTTTTTAGTTTCTTGTTATTTAGTTTTGTGTGTTTGTGATTGTAATTGCTGCCCATTCTTGGCCAGGACTCTCCAGTGAAAGAGATGTTTAATCTCAGAGAGATTATCCTGGTTAAATAAAGGTTAAATAAAAAATAAAAAAATAAGTGAAAGGAAAGCATTTCCCCGGTCCTAGTATCTCTTCACTGCAGTATAGCATCCATTTTAAGATTTTATTTTTATTTAGTTTTTAAAGCGTTAAATGGTGTATCACTGTCATATCTGTCTGAACTTCTCAGCTAATCTTCTCAAACTCTCAGACCCTACATATACTTGAAGTTTAAGGGGAATCGTGCCTTTTCTGTAGCTGGTCCTAGATTATGGAACAGCATACCTCAGGACATCAGTTATTTGATGCTGTTTTTGTCTCTCTCTTTTATTTTCTTACTTCTTTATAGTGTCTATGTTATTTGTTTATGTACAACACTTTGGTAGACACTACTTGCTTTTAAACGTGCTATATAATAAACTGACCTTGACCAAAACAATCGGCCTATAGCAACAAGACAAATACTGCTGTAATATTTCAGTAATATTAAAACTATATTTTTCTTCAGAAGTTATGACCGATAAAAATGTCTTTGTACTCTTTTAAACTAAAGTTGTGGCTCTCTCATAACCCCCTCCCACAAGCACTTGTCAATGCGGCCATTTTTTAGACTGAACACGTAATTCGCATAACATCACCGTTTTCACAAATTTGCATTTTTTTGTAGTTTAAACCGAGACAATGTGATCGTTTTCAAAAGCGTGCACTTTGAAACCTGTTTTCAAAAGTTGGCATTTTCATACCGTTGTCCAGTTATTGAAAATGGTGTCGTGTAAAGCCCCCTAAAAGTCGTAGTGTGTGGGCAGAATTAGCTGAGTAGCCTGATATACCACGTTGTCATGGATAACAGCGATTAGGAATTACCAGACCACTGAGTGCCACGACTGACCAATCAGAATCTAGTATTCCAGAGCGCAGTGTAATGAGGGTCATATCATCAAGCTTGATGCATTTGCTACACAAACATCGTTATTCTCTTTTGAGTCTTTAAACAGTAATTGGTTACGGATACTCGACAAGCATTCACATGACTATTTTAAGCACATTTAACTAATTTCAGAAAACAAACATCATCTGGAATCAAAATAATTAAACCTGATACAATTTATACACACCTACAGCTAAACGCCATTTCCATGCAATTAAAATAAGTCATTCTACTCAGTGTAATTTAGACTGATGCAACATGGTCCTTTCACTAAAATAGTATTTTCACACAAACACCATGCACCATTTAATTGAGTGATTACATGGCTGTTACTTCTTTAGAAAACAAAGACAAATCAGCATGGCCTTACTTTGCCAACCACACAGGGAGCAAAACCACCAATTATCCGGCATTACGTGACGGTTGGCAGCTGTGGTATGAAAAACCACAGGAATGTGTGGTAGCAGAATGAAAAAAAGCTGTTTGTTTTAATCAAAGGCAAAGAAGCAGGCCCCAAAGTCTGCGTATACATCTTGCCAGTTATGCAACATAATTCAAGATGAAATTGGGTACGTATCATTCATCAAGTCACGGCTTATGTAATACGCCACACTTCAGATAGAGCGCACAATGAACTCTTTCATGTATATTTCAGAAAAAGCAATCTATTATTCAGGAGAAGGAGAGAGTTTGTGAGCAAGTTCTTCCAAGTTTGACTGAACCTGATGGATCTTGAGGTTTCACGGCACAAAGAGCTTTAGCTTTTGCTTTAAGCTTTTCTATAAACTTCTTCAAAAATAAACAAACCACTAGTGAAGAAATAAAACAGAATGAGACACTGACTACAACTCCAACTAGACAAGCAGCATGCAGTTCTGATCTTACTGCAGTGCAGATGCTTGTAATTTATACTATTATATAATAACATACTATACATACCAATACAGGCACCAATTCAAATTCTACACTGCATAAAGTACACAATAGGAGCTACTTTGCATGAACTGGATTATAGGAGTTTATTTTGCAGTTGTGGGCAGGAACGGATGGATTGAAACTGTTTGCGGCTTATGCTCAAAGACCAAAGCTCTCATCAATGTGCCCTTTCATCCATGGAGAAAACATTTGATCAGCTATTCAAGTTGTTCACATAATCCACATCCCCAGTGGTCGAGCATGTGCTGTGAATACTTAAACATTGTATTCAAAACACTCAAATATCCCTTCTTTTTTTTTCCAATTTCTGCACTGTCACGCCCAGCTGCTTTCGCATCAGTTAACTCCCTACAGGCTAAACACTGCATTTGATTTCCTCTGAAACACACACACACTGAAGCGCTGTGTCTTGTTTTGAGTGATTAGCTGTCCAGTTTCTGCTTATAAAGGGCATTATACACAAAGTTTTTTTTTTTTGCAATGATGCCTTTCAGTGAACAGTTCCATTTTTATTTTCTTTCCAATTTCTGCACTGTCACGCCCAGCTGCTTTCGCATCAGTTAACTCCCTACAGGCTAAACACTGCATTTGATTTCCTCTGAAACACACACACTGAAGCGCTGTGTCTTGTTTTGAGTGATTATAAAGGGCATTATACACAAAGTTTTTTTTTTTTGCAATGATGCCTTTCAGTGAACAGTTCCATTTTTATTTTCTTTGTGTGAAGAACATTTTAATCATCTAAAGAACATTCTCCACTATAAAGACACTTTGTGCAGTGGAAAGGTTCCATGGATTTGAAAGATTCTTCATAGAACCATAGATGGTAATGAAGAAGATTTCTTTTTCAGAGTACAGGATTCATATAACACAATCAGGGATCATGAATCACTTGTATATTCGATAAGTCTGGTTCAAAGTGTCAAAAATCAAAAGAGCAAAGAGATCCATAGGCAAAAACAAGAATGGCCCTACGATAATAAAGACTCGAAAACCATGAGCATGTTACTAACTCACAAAATATGACTTTTCAGTATACTGAGCATGCTTTTTAGTCTCACGCAAATCAGTTTATTTCTGTATCTTTGTTCTAATCGCTCAATCGGACAGCATTCAAAAATAGCTAAGAGGGATTAAGGATATTTTACTATTTGACATTAAAAATCTAACATTTACATGTTCATAATTAGTTATGAAAGATTCCCTTCAAGCGTACTGAAAGCTACATCAGTTAGGATATAATTAAGCGATCATTCCATTACAGAATCACAAAACATCACAGATGATTTTATAATATCTTGGACTCTTTGATCCAAACATCCTTCTTTAATTAATAAGCAATGCTTTAATTGAGGATAGCAGAACTCAGATTTCTTGACTGCTGCAATGTTGCTTGCACACTGAGTTTCATAGGTTTAGATCCTGTAGGTGACGCCAAGTTTCTGTTCAGAGGCAGCATGACTTCGCAGGCTCTGGCACCTGATAGGATTTTCCTCCTCCATACTGAGACATAATCCCATGGCGGAAACAAGTTTCCATATGAAGGTGAGTAAATAAATGATGACAATATTTACAAATTTTTTGGGTGTACTATCTCTTTAAGAGACAATGTGGTCTCAAGGCCTGCATTACTGTCATCTCTGCTAGAGCACAATGCCAATAATTACATTCTGCCCTGCCGAATGATTCGAACTCAAAAGGAAATTGTATTGCCATCAATAACCCTGAAATTCTTTAAGCCTGCGACCTAGGCCATATATAAGCGTTTCTTGCCTTTTTTTGAGGCACTAATATGTACCACTGGTAAGGCTCATTTCACTTTAATTTTATTCATTTCTCAAGGCTCATAGATTTTACACGTCGCAATAAATATTCAATAAACACGTAGCTACCACTGGACACACATTACACACTCACTCGCATTAAACAGAATTGTTAACGCCTCTTCACCGCAGCCTGCACTGTATTTGAGAGACTGTTATAAAACTGATTACTTCTAATGGTTCCGGAGACGGAAGTAAGGAGGTTTTGTTTCATCCTCCATGCTGTGACAACTCACAAAAGTCTATTTTTAGCCAAGCAGCGCGGAAAGCCGCTTCAGAAACGTGCCGCAGCTGGCTGATAAACACAAGCACTGACTAGAGCAGCCGCAATCAGCTCCGATTCCCGTGGAGCCGTAATGTGCCACAGACGTGTGCAGTGAGGCGCAGATCAGCTCTAACGTCACTGAATCTGCTGTTAAAAATGAACCATCCATTTATTATATCATCATCCAAAACATACACGACAAATAGCTAATTTTTCATTGTTTCTCGAAACACCAACGATGACATGACTGCAGCGCTAAATCATTTATGTCCCCATGCATCAAGTACGTGGTCACGCGTTGACGTCATAAAATTGCAATCGGTTCGTGAGATCGGCCAAGTTAGTGAGTACCAATCGAGTCATAAAATGTGATTATCGGCGATACCGATCTCCGGCCGATCGATCGAACCATCCCTAGTAAGATTGTTAATGTTTTTGAAAGAAGAATCTTATGTTCACCAAGGCTGCATTTATTTGTTCTAAACTACAGTAAAACAGTAATTCTGTGAAATATTACTTCAATTTAAAATAACTTTTCTAATTTATAGTCTTTACGGTCACTTCTGATCATCAATTTAGTGCATTTGCTGTCCCCAAACTTTTGAACAGTAGTGTTCTACAGTATTTGTGATGGGAATCAAAGTGCTAAAATTGCGACTGTAGAAACAAGCAGTACCTCTGTCACAAAGTTTGTCGTTGCTGTGCTCAAGGTCTTCAGCATAGGCGTGGCTTCAGCGTAGAACAGAGACATTCTATTTGCCATTTCATTATTGACTTCATTTTCAAGCTTGATAGAAGAAAACAAACATACACACACACACACACACACACATGAATATAGAAATTAACACAGGATTTTAAATAATATTCTTTTATCTCATGTCTTCTGCACGTTCCTGCACTTACATTCATGTTGTTTAATCGGTTTCGACTGATTGTTCTTCTGTAGTAGCTGAAGTCATTTTGGATAGCTGGAATCCTCATCTAAATAACAACAGTGGCAATCAATGCATTTCCCTTTATTTTTTAAATTCCCCTAATATGAAAATTGGTGCATGACAAAAGCAGTAAAGCAGCTGGCACCTTAAGCTCATCAAAGCGGAGGGTGAAATGCAGGATTTCAGCGAACTGTTTAGCGAGGGCCTGCTCCCTCTCCAGGTGCTGAGTGGGAGTGTATGGCGGACACGTCAGAGACTCCAAAAGGCTCTGCAGTGCTTCCTCTACATGGAAGAGAGGAAAAAAGCAGATCTGATACAGAGCTAACATTACGTACTGATTAAGGAGAAATATGTGGATATAGGTAACTATATATGAATTGTGTACCTAGTTTCAATGAAAAAGCATAGAACTTCTTTAGGCGGATGACAAGGGGACACACAGAGTTCCACGCCCTCTCCTGAAGGAGCATGTCATTAGGATTCTGTATTGCCTAAAATGACAAACAAGTCACATGATTTAATCTGGCATGTGAAATATAATCCACAAAATGCTGTTAAATACGACTGATTGACCCACAAAGCCAAATCAGAACTATTAATCCGACGTACATCTCGTATTTCCTGGCCCGCCCCCTTGTAGGCTTGCAGGCCGGACAGGATGCTCTCTGACTCCTGGAGAACAGCATTCACCTGGTTCCACACCTCTCTCTCACAGTCTGTCGGCTGTGCATCTGACACAAATAAACTACATTATGCACTGCCAAGTACTAGTTATGTATTTCACAGCATTAGATACAATATCAAACCAAGTGTCATCTGCAAACCAAAGAGTAGAGCTTTAGATCTCAGATCTAACTTCACTTCTATTTTTCCAAATGAAAGCCTTTTTACGACCATCTATTTTTTTTGTAGTCAAGTAAAATGTATGTATGAAGTCATCATTTTATTTTGGTTATTCTCCAGTTCACCACCCAACCACCATCAAATTTGACAACCAGAAAGTGGCCAAACACTTCAGTTTTGATCAGCACATCAGCAATTGTTTTGGAGTTTAAAACCACTTGAACGTTTTCTGGTGAAATGTTTTGCTTCCAAAGTGTGTTAATGTTATTTTGCTTTAAAATAAATGCCACTTGATTTGATATTTTGTCATCTAATGTAATGTAATGACATGACATTCATAAATTAAATTAAAGCTTAAGAGCCCAAATATTTGTAAGAGCAATCTATAAATCACAACAAACAAATAAATAAGGTGATATTTTCATAGGGAGAGAAAAAAAAATAATTTTCTTTCTTTAAACCAGAGGTTCCCCAATATTTCAACATTTCATAGAGATGCTCATATCAAAAGTAAAGATTTACTGATTATGAGTTTTGGTTTAAATGCAAACAATCAAGCAGCAAAGTAAATACTCAGGAAATGTTGAACATTTTGGGTAAAGCTCTCTTTAAAGTTTCTAGACAAAAAACAAAACAAAGTCCAGTGTTTAGTGTAATATAACTGGTTTTCTCTCCTGAAGGAGCATGTCATTAGGATTCTGTATTGCCTAAAATGACAAACAAGTCACATGATTTAATCTGGCATGTGAAATATAATCCACAAAATGCTGTTAAATACGACTGATTGACCCACAAAGCCAAATCAGAACTATTAATCCGACGTACATCTCGTATTTCCTGGCCCGCCCCCTTGTAGGCTTGCAGGCCGGACAGGATGCTCTCTGACTCCTGGAGAACAGCATTCACCTGGTTCCACACCTCTCTCTCACAGTCTGTTGGCTGTGCATCTGACACAAATAAACTACATTATGCACTGCCAAGTACTAGTTATGTATTTCACAGCATTAGATACAATATCAAACCAAGTGTCATCTGCAAACCAAAGAATAGAGCTTTAGATCTCAGATCTAACTTCACTTCTATTTTTCCAAATGAAAGCCTTTTTACGACCATCTATTTTTTTTGTAGTCAAGTAAAATGTATGTATGAAGTCATCATTTTATTTTGGTTATTCTCCAGTTCACCACCCAACCACCATCAAATTTGACAACCAGAAAGTGGCCAAACACTTCAGTTTTGATCAGCACATCAGCAATTGTTTTGGAGTTTAAAACCACTTGAACGTTTTCTGGTGAAATGTTTTGCTTCCAAAGTGTGTTAATGTTATTTTGCTTTAAAATAAATGCCACTTGATTTGATATTTTGTCATCTAATGTAATGTAATGACATGACATTCATAAATTAAATTAAAGCTTAAGAGCCCAAATATTTGTAAGAGCAATCTATAAATCACAACAAACAAATAAATAAGGTGATATTTTCATAGGGAGAGAAAAAAAAAATCATTTTCTTTCTTTAAACCAGAGGTTCCCCAATATTTCAACATTTCATAGAGATGCTCATATCAAAAGTAAAGATTTACTGATTATGAGTTTTGGTTTAAATGCAAACAATCAAGCAGCAAAGTAAATACTCAGGAAATGTTGAACATTTTGGGTAAAGCTCTCTTTAAAGTTTCTAGACAAAAAACAAAACAAAGTCCAGTGTTTAGTGTAATATAACTGGTTTTTGAGTATAAGGTCACACAGGATTTCAGAGTTTACTGGATAAGTAAACAGAGGTAAAGGATTGAAAGAGCTGAGATTTCAGAATGAGACAAACAGAGGTCAGAAAAATATCATAGAAGAAGCAGAAGCTGCAAAGAGTAAGGAGATAATTTCCAGATAAAAGTATCATGCTACATAGACATACATAGCCATATTTGATATGTGGTTAGTTATAAATACTGACTGATAAGTCATGCACATTTGCCAACAACAAATCAGATTTTCAGGGGGGAGTATTTTCTTTCTTTCTTTTTTTAGATTTTCAAGAAAATATTTAGATATGTTTGTGTTTGCAATTTGAGTTCTTAGAATTAAAGATTGCATGTAAAAAAAGATAAAATATGCTATACTTGCCCTATCAAACTCATTTGCACATGCAAAAGCATTGTGAAGCTCTGTTTTGCTGTTGCGTTGTGACAAATAGATTTGCAAGGACAATTCTGATAATGGTACTTGCAAAATGTTAGTAGTTGAAAAAAGTGACAGACACCAGGCCAGGCAAAAGCTCTGCTCACTTTCAAAGTCAAGGAAAAAGTTTGGCCCCTGATCAAGCTCTGTGCAAGTGAGCACTTTTAACAGATTCCCCATTTGGTTTCTGAAACAGAAAAGCAAGAGAAAGAGAAGAAAAAAAAGGATGAAAGACAGAGAAAAAAGAAAGGTGTTGAACGTCAAAAAAAAAAAAAAAATCAGAGGATGTCACTGAGCGCTAAAGAGTGATTCTGCAAAGTCTTATGCTCCTACACAGAATTCCCTCAACTTCTCATGGTGAACATGGTAATCATTTAAAATTGAATCTGAATTGTTTTTGCTTTTCCTTTTTACTTTAAGAAATCACGGAGAAATCAGCCATTTTCTTCTAGTTAATTCGTAGGACACACTTTAGACAAAGCGTCAGCTCCGGACAGTAGGAAGCATAAACTTTCACCACAAGAAAGCAAAGAGGGAAAGCTGTCTTATAAGAGCTTTGAGACTGTCAGTCTAGCTCCTCCTGCCACTGCTGGGGAAAAAACAGCTGGTTATAGAGTCTCGCCAACCCCAGACTCCACCTCTTCTTAAAACTTACTTTCAAAGTCCAGGAAAAAATGTGGATAGTTCTCTATTTCCCTTGTAAGGACTTTTAGAAGATTACCCATTCCAGCAAAACCTAATCAAGATATAATAATAAAAAACAATTGCATGAAATAAAACTCAGAAATGTAAATCACTAATAAACAGTGACTTCAATAAGAGTATAGCAAGAATGGTGAGAGCTGCAATTTGAACTGTAATATACTACTTGTTTAACAATAACTGATGTGAAAATGTTTCAGTAACATGTTCTAGAGAATCTAAGCAATCTAAATTGGCACATAACTAGTAGATAAAAAGAATATGCTGGTACTCTGAAATACTTTAAAAACAGGTACTCACACAAGAGACACTGGTTTTCTTCTTTGTAGGTCAATTTTACTTATCTCTTCTAATATGTACTTAAGAGACTGTTCACTCACAGCCAGATGATAAAATAGTTTAAATGTTCTGATATGCTCTCATTTCAAATGAGGATATAACAGCTGTTTACTGAGTAACTGAGCTGCTTTATCTTTATTCTACCAACCGGCTATGCCAAATAATAATTTCAAGTTATAACTGCACTCTATCATATAGTAATGCATAGTGGGACTTGATTTTGTCCATCGGGAACAGATTGAATTGTTGGAAATGCACAGAGTGCATTTACACGCACATTCTTAAACAGATTAAAGCGATCATTATTTTTAATACGGCAACATTGCATGTGATCATGTAAACATGTTAAAACGTAGGGCTGGGCGGTATATCGAGTTTGTACAATATATTGATCTATTCTTTATAAGCAATGTGGTATGAGGCAAAACCTTTTATATTGATATACTGTAGTTTGATACGAGTGCATCTGAAAAATAGCGGAAGACACAGAGTGAGCTGCTATGGGGCAAGTGCATAATCCAGTTTGTGACATGCTTTATATTAAGGGCTTTAAATAAGATATAGTTAGCATGTATAGTTTAAAGCGGTTTGCCCTGTCAGATGCTTAGAGGCATCATGCCCATTCAAAGTGAGGAGGGATGTGCCCCTCAGATTTTTGGGCCAAGTGGATTTTGAATGCAGGTTACAAAAGACAAAAATAGCCAAATAATATTTTTTATATAATGCTCAATTCAAATCTGCGTTCATGCTTTGGCTGGTGCTGAGCCAGAGACAGACGCGTTTTTACATTGCTGCGCATTATAACCAATCACACACGATTCTGTTGAGCTTATGAATGCGATGGCCAATCAGAGGCATTCAGATGAGTCATTGCTGAAACGCCGGTGTTCTGTTCAGTGCGCACGCTTCTGGCGAATTCGCTCATCAGAAACAACAAAGTGCAGATGTGCTTACGATGTAAATAAGACATTCATTTCACAGTGTAAACAGCTTCAGTGATTATAATGAGAGTTTTTGAAAGTGAAGTGCCTGAACTCTGGCTAGACTGAAGTCAATGATAAAGTTATTTGATAATGTAAATGATCTTTGCTCTCTTTCTGTACAATGAAAGTGTTATAATTAGTAACTTTCAATGTTTTTATTAAATTCACGTCATGACACCCATATCTGGTATTTAAGTAAAAAGACAGGTTTTATGCGTAGTTAATAGATTACACTAACATTAGGCTACTGTGCCCATCGCCCATTACAGATCAACTAACATAATCTATAAAGGTGCAAAAAGCATTTACTTACACATATTTGAGAATTTATATATTTCATGATATAGTTTCATGATATATTACAGGCAGGTAAAACAGCTTATCATAATCTTCAGACCAAACAATCTGATTGGACAAATATTTTATGCCTTTCACAGACCATAAATACATTTAGACGACATAACCTAGTGATTGCTATCGGCATGTGAAGAGACTTTCAACCAGCATAACAAAAAATGTTTTTGAACCAAATCACCTACCGTGCCTTTAATCATAAACTGATCAACACAGCTAGATTTTTGTCCATTACCCCGACTTTGCCCAGCATGTAACCACCTGTGTAATATATCAGAGGAAGCACATCTAACCACAGCAAATGTTTCACGGTACGGGAGGTGGAAATATATTGCAAACTCCGCCTCTTTTTTGACCCAAGAAATTGAATTAAAAAATATGTTCTGATCTCGTGCAGCCATATGACAAGTGGTACAAGTCTTAGAAACTTCAAATATGAGGGGAGAATGAGTCTGTGCAAATCTTCCCTGACATTTTGGAATTTAATTTAACAGTATGCATTTATTTATCATCACATAACAAATGGTAGATTACATGGATGCTTACGTTTTGCTATAACCACCAACAGGAAATATACAGATTTTTAATAAAGTCTTGCAAACACGGTTTACTTGCATTGCCGGGTTATTGGTTTGCATGTAAACCAGTAAAACGGGTTATTTCAATAAACTGATTGTTGGTACTTAACACAGCATATACAGTGGGTACGGAAAGTATTCAGACCCCCTTAAATTTTTCCCTCTTTGTTATATTGCAGCCATTTGCTAAAATCATTTAAGTTA